TTCAATCAATGCGACCTACAGAATTTTAATATGGAATGCCTATTCCTCTATGCTTCTTTTCCTTATCAATAACTTTTCCAGCAGCCATTTTGTATACCTTCTTGCAGACATCAATGTGGGTTTTATTCTTTTTCTATCTTTAGGCTTTCCAACATCATTAGGAGACACAGGCCTCAAAGTATATGTTCTATAAAAATGTATGTGGTAATTTCTCTTTTAATTTTTTTTCATGATCTTCGGATTGTGTTAATACCTATCTTTCCTCAAGTTATATACATAAAATTAACATCTTTTCTAATTCTTGTATTTGACACTGATCTTTTTGGCACACATGGAATATTTCCCATGAAAGATTTCTTTCTTTTTTTAAAAAAAGTTATTTATTGTAAAGATGCTGTACAGAGGGGTTACGGTTAGATTTCTTCCTTTCTAAAGCTCAATTCATTCACCCACCTTCCTACAAAGTACAGGCATATATCTTCTAAAAGCAGAGCTACAGCAGGGTGCCTGTGATTCATACCTCTAATCCTACTACTTAGGGACCTGGGATCTGAAGGTCATGGTTTAAAGCCAGCCAAGCAGGAAGATCTTGAAACTCTTATTTCCCATTAACTGCCTAAAAGCCAGAAGTGAAGCTGTGGCTCAAGTGGTAGAGTGCCAGCCTTGAGCAAAAAGCACAGGGACAAGCCCAGGTTCTGAGTTTAAAACCCAGGACCAGCACATGCACACACACACACACACACACACAGAGCTACATGCTGAGAAATATATACTCGAGAACAAATACAAATTAAGATGGCTATATCCCTGGGCAACAATCTTTTGCTGTCCACTGTTGATTAAAACACCACTAGATGGTGCATGCTTAGGAGTCCCTGAACTCAGAGTTCATTATCAGTTTACGTGCTTATATTGAAAGAAAAAAGTTTGCTCAAAGACCGCCTACAAGCAGAGCAAGTCTTGGTGGATGAGGCCACCTGCCTCATGTACATTCTGGGATTTGAAAATATTTTATGGAACCATACTACTCTGTCAAAGTCTGGGCATTCCCTTTCCGATATTTCAGGTGACCTTTTTTTCCTCAAATAAAATGACCTAGAGTCTTTCATATAAACCAGAATATTTTGGGGGGGGAGGGGTCCAGTCATGGGGCCTGAACTCTGGGCCTGGGCGCTGTCCCTCAGCTCTTCAGCTCAAGGCTAGCGCTCTACCACTTGAGCCACAGCGCCACTTCCGGCTTTTTTTCTTTTTGTTTATGTGGTGCTGGGGAATCGAACCCAGGGCCTCATGCATGCAAGGCAAGCACTCTACCACTGAACCACCTTTCCAGCCCCATAAACCAGAATTTAAGAACAGTTACAAGCAGCAATTAATTTCATTCTTGACAGAAGCTTTTGGTCACATATATTTTGTCACTTTTGCTTGCCTGGCATGCATGAGGCTCTGGGTTCGATTCCTCAGCACCACATAAGCAGAAAAAAAAAAGCTGAAAGTGGCGCTGTGGCTCAACTGGTAGAACACTAGCCTTGAGCTGAAGAGCTGAGGAACAGTACTCAGGCCCAGAGTTCACGCCCTACGACCAGAACCAAAAATAAAATAAAAATAAAAACAAATATTTAACCTATTTTGCCACTTTTTGATAATCTCATTTTCTCCATTCAGAAATATTTTTGGTAGTATGGAGTTCTTCCATATTCCATTCATGAATATCATTATTTTAGGAAAGGGAAAGTTTAAAAATAAATGCAGTGTAATGGTTCATTTTTATATAAATGTATACAAAAGTGCATGGTGTGTCAAAATCAGCCCAGTGCTTACACCTTCCTGCTAAGGTCAAGTGTGATCTCATTTCAAGAGGAGAGGTAGGTGAGAAATTCACTTGAAATAAATATTCAAGCCTTCACATATGTTCACATACAAAATGTCCAAAGTTCAAATGTAGACAGCCATCTAATCTGATTGCGTGTGTCTTACCATCCTAAGGCTTCCCTGTTGGGCTGGGAAGGTGGCTCAGTGGTAGAGTGCTTGCCTTGCATGCATGAGACCCTGGGTTCAATTCCTCAACACCACATAAGCAGAATAAGCCGGAAGTGGCGCTGTGGCTCAAGTGGTAGAGCTCTAGCCTTGAGCTGAAGAGCTGAGGGACAGTGCCCAAGCCCAGAGTTTAGGCCCCATTACTGGGAAAAACAAACAAACAAACAAGGCTTTCCTGTCACCTCAGTGCTCTTTTTAATTCTCATCTCTTAAAAGTGTGTCTGGAATCTAGGGATTGAAGCCCCTGTCTCCAAGTTCTCAGAAAAATCATCAGGTAATTGTTCTGTTGGTTGAGCTTCTGGTCATCTGAAAGGACCAGAGTAACAAGAAACCATGGACAAAAAGCAGACTTGGCCTGTCTGGTGCAAATGAAAGCTTCCTCTGTGAGGCGCAATGAATTTAGAAAATGTTTGAACCTTGTATTTTCCTTATATCCAGATATATTCTGGTAGTCATGATATTTCCATATAACAAGTTGTATTTCTATAAATCATACCTAATGACATTAAGTGACTTCTTGACACATTGTCTGACAAGCCATGCATATTTTATTCAGATTAAAACATACTTGTAAACTTAATAGCTTGTCTAGCTAAGCTATATTGCTTGTAGATGCTTGAGTACATGTACTTCTTAACATCTGTAAATAAATTTTATATCAAAAAATACAAAGACGGATATTTTGTGATAACTTCTTGACAGAACTTCTACTAGTTAGTGTTTATTACTTCAACAAGTTTTGTGCATTTTATATTGTAAAAATACTGTACAGAGGGGTTACAGTTACATAAACAAGGTAATGAGTACATTTCTTATTGAGCATTGTTGCCTCCTCCTTTGTTTTTCCCCTATCATCCCTTCCCTCCCACCTCCTCAACTCCCCCCTCACCCTCCACCGAAGTTGAAAAGTTTGTACATCTCATTGTTAAATCCCTATTTGTCGGGTCTTTGTCCATCCCATGAAAGACAGACGGGGTCCGAGGAAAGGTAAGTGCGGCTGCTTGCCCGTTCCCCAGCCTCCCCGTTCCCCAGCCTCCCTCAGCCTGCAGCTGGGAGTCAAGTCAAGCAGGAAAAAACTCTATTAACACAGAGCAAGCCCTTTTTAAAGCAAAAAAGAGCGGGGGGCATGGCAGGGGAGGAAAAGGAACCAATCACTGTCAAGGTCACTCCCTAATGCACCTAAGCTTCCACTGGCTGGTTATGCACTGAACGTAAAGCAAATTGGGCTCTGCCCACTCTACTCCCTCTCAGCACCATCTTTATTGCCCATGTGCTCTATACCTATTTAAGCATTTTGTTTTTTTTCCCTTCTTATCCCCAAATTAGAGAAGTGTATATACAAGATGCAGGGCCCTGACATCAAATACAGTGAAAACAGGGGGTATAATTATATGATACTACTTATTCGGTGATAACTGTGTCCTTCCAAATGTTCTCTGAGGGTGCAGGACCCCCTATAGAATGAGCAGGAAGGAAGCAGTGCAGCAAATCTTAGGGTGTGATCAGAAAACAGAGACCTAAGCTGTCCCAGCAGAAGCTTTCCAAGCTACCTCCCCTCTTCGGAGCAGTGGAGAGAAGTCTGGAATTTCTCTTGAGAGTTTGCTGCTGTGCTGTGTGCAGGAGAGCAGGGAAGGTACCCCAGCTGCACCAGCACGGCAGAACGTTCCAGGGATTCAGAATCCCCATCATTTCCTGAGTGGATTCCTTTGACACTCAGGTATGGTTACTGGCAAAGAACACACACAGGTAAGCTTAGCAGTTGCATGAGGTCACTCTATCCCCATCAATGTTGGGAGTATGACTCAAGCAAAGATAATGTAACCAACACACACACACACACATTCACAGTAAGCATGTTTGTGCCTCAGGGAGCTAACTCTGTACAGGTTTCTGCAGGGCCCTGTTCAATGTCTTATCTTTCAAGAAGAATGGAATCTAGCCAAGCAAGAGAGAGATTTTAGGATCTTCACAACTGCTTAAATATCAGAGTTGAGAGCCTAAGATGGTCTTTCTTTCCTGGCTCCAAGTACACTGTTCATCAGCCTAAGAAAAATACTGATGCCAGAGGGGGTACTGTGATTATGCCTGACGTCCTTGTAGGTCTCAAGGTAGCTTGGATAGAAAACATAAAAGACCTCATTGGTTTATACTTAGGGCTCTCCTCAATGTTGTACTAATCATTGTCACAGATTCCAAAAGAGAGAGGTGTTTCTTTTTTTGTTTATGAGCAGTTTAAAACACAACTCCTATACCATGGGAGACAAGAATGCATCCCATTGTAAAATTACTATAAACATAGAATTATTTCCACCGGATTCAAGGCCTTTGATGTGCACCTGCTATGCTACAAACAGTGGAGTTTGTGGCCAGCACCCAACTATGAAAAAGACTTCATCATGGTCACAGATGAGGGTTTTGTATCGGGTTTGGGGATGGTTTGTTTGTTTGTTTGTTTGGTGGGTGACGGTGAGTGCTGTTGCCGTAGTAATAATGGTAGTGGGTAATAAGGAATTACCCTCCATCTCGGTGGCTTAGGAGTAGTTGGCCTTGAGGATCATGGGTCTGTTTCGTGTGGGGTTGCTTATTAACGCAGACTGACTGAGCCTGAACTTGAGCTGCAGTGTATCCGTGAGGAAGACAGGGAAGCCTGGCAGGTCTTTGGGGGGTGGTGGGCGGTGTCCTATGCACGTCACTCTGAGATAGCAATTATCAAGATATCAAATATCAGATATCAATTATCATTATATCAAGTTACCAAAGGTCAGATTTCAATTATCAGTATATCGTTATCAAATATCAAGATATCAATGAACAGTTATCAAGATATCAGGTGTCAATTATCAAGATATCAAGGATCAGATGTCAGTTATCAGTGTGTCCCGTTATCTAATGTCAGCTGTCAGTGACCCGGAACGCCTCCCCACGCCCCGCCCCCTCCTCACCCTCTGTTCTCCGTCCTTTGGCAGACTCCGACCTGAGCATGCGCACACTGAGCACGCCCAGCCCGGCCTTGATATGTCCCCCAGCCCTGCCAGGATTCCAGAATGGAAGGGGCTCGTCCACCTCGTCCTCGTCCATCACGGGGGAGACGGTGGCCCTGGTGCACTCCCCGCCCCCGCCCCGCCTCACGCACCCGCTCATCCGCCTGGCCTCCAGGCCCCCGAAGGAGCAGGCCAGCGTGGACCGGCTGCCCGACCACTGCCTGGTGCACGTCTTCTCCTTCCTGCCCACCAACCAGCTGTGCCGCTGCGCGCGCGTGTGCCGCCGCTGGTACAACCTGGCGTGGGACCCGCGCCTCTGGAGGACTATCCGCCTGGCCGGGGACACGGTGCACGTGGACCGCGCGCTCAAGGTGCTGACCCGCAGGCTGTGCCAGGACACCCCCAACGTGTGCCTCATGCTGGAGACCGTGGTGGTCAGCGGCTGCCGGCGCCTCACCGACCGCGGCCTCTACACCATCGCCCAGTGCTGCCCCGAGCTGCGCTGCCTGGAGGTCTCCGGCTGTTACAACATCTCCAACGAGGCCGTCTTTCACGTCGTGTCCCTCTGCCCCAACCTGGAACACCTCGACGTGTCGGGTAAGTGAGGCCGATGGCTTTCCCGCGTGCACTGCCCCCCCCACACACACACCCCACCCCCATGCATCCATCCACAGTGGGAGAGACCTGGCCGCACCTGTCCTTCTTGCTGGATGCCGCAGATGGGCCCGTGGCGACCCTCGTGGCCCTGAAATCAAGCCCCTCTAGGCCAGAGGAGCCCTGGCCTCCCATCCAGTGGTCTCCCACGCTGGCTTCCTGCTGGGAGTAGCAACAGACACATTGTCCCCGGCAATGTGTGACTTCATGGTTTTCTTGTTCCCAGAATGCTCACAGTGACTGCAAAGCAATGACAGAAAGCAAATGTAAAACTTTACGTAAATGGGAACCTGATAGCTAAGTCAACTTGTTGAGGGCTACCCTGACCTCCACTTGTTCCTGGTTGGCTATGTCTGAGCTGTAGCAAGGACTCTGCATGCGTTCTCTGCTGTTAGCTTGACGGTGCTGCAGGGAGAATAAAAGACTTAGCTATGGCCAGATGCCAGTGGCTCACACCTGTAATCCTAGTGACTAAGGAGCTTAAATCTGAGGATCGTGGTTTGCAGTCAGCCAGGTCAGGAAAGTTGATTAGACTCTTATCTCCAAGTAAGCAGCAAAAATAGATGGAGCTGTGTCTTGAATAGTAAGTACTAGCATTGAGCAAGAAAGGTCAGGGACAGTCCCCAGGTCATGAGTTCAAGGTCCAGGACTGACACGTACACACAGATAACCATAGGCTATGCGCAGGATGGCTTTGTCACTCCCTCAATGTTGAAGTAACCACTCTAGGGGAGTAGTGCCTTCTACTTTACCCCCACTCTTCTCCCTTCTGATAATTTCAGACTTTCAGATCTTTTCTTAAGCTGTATTCTCTATCATATAGTAAAAGGGCCAAGTCCATTGAATCAAATTTTAGATCATTTAAAAAAAAAAAAAAACCCGAAAGAAAAGGAAGGAAGGAAATCCCCACCATGACTTCTTTGCTTGAAAATCTCTCTCAGGCAGGAAGAATTAAAGCTGAGAGTCAAAGTTTGGCACCAGACAGGGGGTTCAGCCTGACTAACAGCCTTTCTTTATCTCATCCACTGCCCAGTCAAGAGACGAACATTTGAGAGACTGAGATGTGTAAGAGGCATCAGGGAATAACGGAAGTCCACAGCGCGAGGCTCAGCCTCAAGGGTTACTGGGGAGGAAACAGAAGTAAAAACCACTGTACAAGGCAAATAATCAGAAATCGGGATTTACAAGTATGTGAGGTAAATGATGCCCTCCAACAAAATCTGAGGTAAATCCGGCCCGCAGCTCGCTCTCTTTCAAAAACGGACATCTGAAATTGTTTCAGCTGACAGTCCATTACTTTTTGCAGATCTTCCCTTGCTGGAAGGCAGCCGGTTGCTCCTCTGCTTCAGCTGGCTTCAGGACAAAACCATAGTAACTGTGTGTTTGGTTAGTCGTGAGCAGCTATTGGCATAAAGCAACAGGAAATGAGGAGGGTTTCTTACTCCCCCGTCCCCAAGGAATTCTGGAAAGAGAAAGCATTGTGGTGTGGGAGAAACTCGTTTCTACACTTTGTGATTTGGGATAGTTCTCGAAGCTTTTTCTAAATGTTAACCCTACTTAAAAATGTTTTAGAACACAATTTACTTTCACAATCAAATCTACTGAACATTTTACAAACTCCACATTTATTTTTCTCAGGTTAGAAAAAAATATTTTAAATTTCCAGAGCCTGCCCCATCTTTGCTAAAAGGGCGTCCTCTGCGTTCTTCGCACAGACTGTGAGTAATTGTGGTCTCTCTTTGGGATCCTTTTTAAATTCCAAAATGATGAAACCACATGGGCTGTTTGGAAATGGAAACTCTAGCCACATGGTTCTCACAGCTGTTGGCATTGGTGCACTGTCATTATTAACCTGCTCAGAAGTCAGTAGCTGGTCCTCTCTGATTGGTCTATTTTGCTTCCCAAAGTAGAGATTTGCCCAGTAATAAGAGGAAACGGTGCATGAAATTTAAAATTAATGGAGGGATCTCCTTTGTATCATCTCTGCTCTTCATTTCCTACCGAATAATATTTGTCCACCCTACCCTGATATTAACGCAGACCCCTCCATGCTCTGATCCCAGCTGACCTTTCCAGGTTTACTTTCCATTAAATCCTTTCAGACACTTCTCAGTCCCCCTCTTGCTTTCTTGTCTCTCCTATCTCCCTTGTTTTCATGACCAAGACTCTAAATGTATCCAAACCATTTCTCTTTCAGCAATTCCTTTAGATCTCATCACTTCCAACACCTTGTTCCTCACTGGCTATATGCAAATCCTTTTCTAAAGCATAAATTCTATGGCTCAATGTGGTCATTTAGTACCTACACATACACACACTCTTATGATTTTTAAATTTTTTATTATAAAGATGATGTGCAGGAGTTAGTTTCATAAGTCAAGTAATGCATACATTTCTTTTTGGACAATGTCACCCCTTCCTTCATTCTCTTTCAGTTTTTTTCCCCTACCATCTCCATCCACAAGTGCTCATTCCCAATATACTTTCTACTGAGTACCAGTGCTACATAGAAGTCTTGACTCAGCAGTTGAGAGACTTAGACTATTTCTGAATGTTCAAGTGACATAGTCTCAATGAGCCTAAGATACCTCATCTTTTAAAAATGAAGTTAAAATTGAATGATTCCTCCGCTTCTCTCCATATCTATAATAGATGAATGTGTGAACTACCCATAAATATTACCTACATGATCCATGAAGCAATTTATTTTCTTTTTAGTCTAAACTCAACAAATCTAGAAGAATTGTGGTCAACCCAGTTATTGATATAAGATATTACAATCTTATCAAAACAGCTTACCACAACTAGACTAATCTTTCATTAAATTTGGGACTCATTTTTATAAGATGGGGTATATATTTTCCTAGACTAAATATCACATCCATTCCTGGAGTCCCACAGATTTGCTAGATATTCTTAAATAAAAATGAAATTGGAAACAAAATTACAGGGATAAAACTTTCATGTGATCTGAGTAAACAAAATGCCTTTGTAGATATCACAGATAGACAAATAAATTCAGTGTATGCAGGATTACAGCTACCCCATAGAAAGAAACTCAAATGAAATGGAGATTTCAAAGCTAAACTTTGGGAGAACAATTAGATCTCACAAAAGCACAGAGCCCTCGGCCTCCAGTGGGTCACATCTGTTTTCTGGTGTTGTACTGCACACTTCACTCCTTCTTAAAATTCTTGCCTTGGTAGCACGTGACCTTTGAACCTTGCTATTCTCAGGACCTGTGTTTTATCAGACTTTTCTGGGAAGCTTGCCAGGACGTGAGAGCAAAGTCCCCAATAACACTGTTGCATAGGTATGGAGAAGCCTGGATATTACAGCAAAGAGCCAAGGTGCAGAGGTGTCTGAAGTGAGTTATCTGACTGCAGAACTGCCACAGGGATTTGAGAAGTACAGAGAGAAAATTATATATAGTGAACCCCGGGTCCTTGTTGCCACGCCAGGGTCATGTGAAGCTTTGTCATCTTTCTTTACTGCTTTGGAAAGGAGTGAGCAGCCCAATGTAGGCATTTAGTGAACGGCTGAGCTTTCCAGGCTCCAAACCAGGTATTTATACATGATTTCTCACTTCTTCGCAGCTGCTTTGTGGGGAAGGTAATCATCCCCTTTTTAAATTTTCTTAAGGTTTATTTTTAGATGTTGTAATGTTTTCAATGGATATGAATAGATGAACCCATGAAGAGCGGGAAACAGAGTAGATGGAATATTTAGCCCAGATATTGTAGCTTGCCAATGCCAATTTTTCATATTACTAATAGGTTTGCTTCCATATTTACAGTTTCTTTTATTAGCTTGATAACCCTTTCTCCTGTAACTGATTTCTTGCCTTTGGGCCTATTGAGTGTTCTCTTGGTCCCTAATGCTCAACCAAATGTCTCTCTTTGGTATATATGTTTGCGTGCATAAGATATGCCCATATAATATATATATATATATATATATATATATATATATATATATTTGTTTACATGTAAAGTTCAATAGTTCAGTATATTATATATAAAAGAAATTTTGGATATGTATTTATACTGTATATTGTCTATATGTACAGGTAAAATTGCAATTGAGTAAGAGTGTACACTTCACGGTTGATGTGAAATATTTTAAGAGGAAAGAAATAGGATTATTTGCTCCCTGTCAGGCAACTAGTAAAGGATCTGGGGCATGTCCTTGGTCAGTCCTGACCCAGCAGAAGGAGGCTTGTCTCCAACTGTCAGATCAGCACAGGCCATCAGGTGACTGCCGGGGCAGCTGTGGTTCCTGTGTCTCCCCATGGAGGGGAGGGGTCAGCGCCCTCCTCCCTCCCCCCCAGGAGCGGCCTCGGAGGCCAGGCTGAGGAGTCGGGGATCCATCCATCCATGCATTCTGTCGAGGGGGGCCGTCCTTCCGGGGACGCTCCCCCTTCTCCTTCTCACGGGTCGCTCTGAGCCTTGTGCGTTTCTGTCTGTCTGTCTGTCTGTCTGTGCGCAGGGTGCTCCAAGGTGACCTGCATCAGCCTGACCCGGGAGGCCTCCATTAAACTGTCCCCGCTGCACGGCAAACAGATCTCCATCCGCTACCTGGACATGACGGACTGCTTCGTGCTGGAGGACGAGGGGCTGCACACGATCGCGGCGCACTGCACGCAGCTCACGCACCTGTACCTGCGGCGCTGCGTGCGCCTCACCGACGAGGGCCTGCGCTACCTGATGCTCTACTGCGCCGCCATCAAGGAGCTGAGCGTCAGCGACTGCCGCTGCGTCAGCGACTTCGGCCTGCGCGAGATCGCCAAGCTGGAGTCGCGCCTGCGCTACCTCAGCATCGCCCACTGCAGCCGCGTCACCGACGTGGGCATCCGCTACGTGGCCAAGTACTGCGGCAAGCTGCGCTACCTCAACGCCCGCGGCTGCGAGGGCCTCACGGACCACGGCGTCGAGGACCTGGCCAAGCACTGCCCCAAGCTCAAGTCGCTGGACCTGGGCAAGTGTCCCCTGGTGTCGGACACGGGCCTGGAGTGCCTGGCCCTCAACTGCTTCAATCTCAAGCGCCTGAGCCTCAAGTCCTGCGAGAGCATCACGGGCCAGGGGCTGCAGATCGTGGCCGCCAACTGCTTCGACCTGCAGATGCTCAACGTGCAGGACTGCGACGTGTCCGTGGAGGCGCTGCGCTTCGTGAAGCGCCACTGCCGGCGCTGCGCCATCGAGCACACCAACCCCGCCTTCTTCTGAAGGGAGGGACGGACGCATGCACGCAGCATGCACATACGCAGGCACGCAGGCACGCACGCTCCGCTCCGGGCCCCGCCCCCCGCGGCCCGGCGCCCACGCAGACGCCGGCCACGCAGAGTTCGTCGCGCCCTTCTTCCTGTTCTTGTTCGGTTGTGTGGTTTGTTGGTTTGTTTCTCAAAGCAGCATATGTAAGCACGGTAGCCACTCCTCACAGCAGCTCTCGGAAGGCCCTTGCTGGGAATCTGGCTGGCGCCTGCGCTCTCTCCCCTTCCCTCACTCCCTCCTCTCTCCTTCCCCCCCCCTCCCCCCTCTTTCTCCTCTCTCTCCCCCCCCTTTCCTGAGCAACAGAAGTGGAAATTAGGAAGGGGCAAACCAGATTTCTCATAGAGTAGTACTTGGGTCAGGCCCATGGTGGTTCATTTCTCTTCTCACAGATGTATCTCAAGCAGGCCGATTGCACTGTCTAGAAATCCTTTCTCCCTGACACCCCCACACCCCCAAGTTCCACACCCCTGTTCTCCAGACTCCACCCCCACCCTCTACACACACACACACACACACACACACACAGGAAAGCGACAGAGGCACCCACATAAAAAACATTCCAGCACTGCTCTTTAAACTGCTTGGTGGGCCTAAGAACTAAACCTCATTCCCACAGCAAGCAAATGTGACTTACATGTCAAGGCACTATGGTACACAAAGAATATTCATAACCTTTTGGTAAAAGTCTACAATGGCAGGCAGCATGGTGGACGGAGAGATTTGCAATGCTTTATTCCCCTGCTGTGCCACCAGCAGTGTGATTTGGAGAAAGGGTGTCCCTTCTCTGGGTTTCCGCTTCTCCCCATTGAATTAGAAGCCATCTGCTGGAGGGGTAGCTTCATGCCTGTTGAGGAACTGAAAGAGCAGATGCCAATAAGTGGGACTTTGGCAAGGAGTCCATAGACATTCACTTCTCATAAGACTGATTTGGTAGATAGACCAAGGAGGTCCTACCAAGCCAACATCAGTGCACAAAGGGCCCCGTATGTCCTTTGGCTCCAGTCCAACGGCCCTTCATGCTTCCTGGACGCTCTGGTTTCTATGCACAAGTGTTTTCAGCATCTCTTCCCTGCCACTCCATACCATCTTAGCACAGCGTGAGGAAACCTCACCACAGTAAAGCCACAGCCAGCTAGACTGGTCCCCAGCCCAGCTGCATCTCCCGAGTGTTTGCAAACAGGAGGAAAGGCCCCTGCAATGTTTAATTAACAAGTGAGGCCCAGGGGAGCACATGTTCCTCCCAGGTCTGCCGATCCCTCTCAGCACATGTGGCATGCCTTAGGCACATCTGTCCTGCAGCTGGCAGGGACACACGCCTTGCTTCTTTGTCATTCAGATCATGTCGTGACTCTGCTCATCTATTTATTTCTTTATGCATCAAGACTTCATCACATGAAGCCTGTTGGGGTTCAATTTAGAAGTGTTTAAATTGGGCAATTTGCCACTGTTGTGTCTCCCCTCAGCCCCTTCCCTATGGCCATCCTCGTGTCTTCCGTTAAAGAATGCAAAGCAGACTCCAGGGGTTTAAATATTGTTCACGTGAAAGCACCAGACAAATGGCATAGGGAACACACCAGTAAGACAGATGCCAATCCACCTACCAAGCACTTGGAAAAGCATTACAAAATAGGAGATCTGAGTGGATGGACTTTTTAAATGGCCCTTCTTGGCTAGAAATCAATGTGCTAGTTTCACAAAGGATGTAAAATCACATAGCCAGAAGAAACTCCATTGTTCATTTTCACAAAGCTCAGTTGTCTTTTGTTAGTGAACCTGACCTTTCCCAAATTCTCTGACCACACCCCTTCTCCATGACAGTCAAAACAGCTCAGCATGTCTTCTGAAAGAGTCCACCATCCAATCACAGAACTCCCTACATCTCCAAGCCTAGCACACTGAATTCACTTCAGATCAAGCTTGCTTGCCACTTGACAACTGCACTCTCACTGTAGGCTCCTGTGCATATGTTTGTCTTTTGTCAGGAAGGAGGACGTAATGTACTAAGGTGGCGTCTGTTCAGGTTTTTCCCTCCATCCCATGAAACATGGATTCCTGTCCCGTTAATATCACCGTCAGTCCACATATGCAATCAAGACTATGCACCATGCTTGGGGGAAAGAACATCGTTTGGCTCAAGTCAGTACTTAATGATAGCCGAGGTTTAGAACTATAAAAGAAGTTGACGGTAGAATGCTGCTGCTGTGTGACTTGTGACTCTATGTAATAAAGTTACAGAATTTCAGAATGACAAAATTGTCAGTGACCCTTGGTGCAAGAGTATTCCACAGAAAGAGCAGAGGAGTTTAAAAGAGCTCCACAAACCACTCCACTCACACTGTCTTTAGAGCCAGGAGACTCAAGCCGACTTTTCACACTGATGGCCCAGCACCTATTCCCTTTCTCGGTGTCTCCCTTCTCCCAGTCTCCTTCCAGCAGGGTGGGAATCTGTGACCAGGGCTGTTGGGGAAACCGCTCAGCAGAGTTTTAGAAACCAAGCAAATAGCCTCAAGGGGAAATATATCTGTTTTGAAACATCTTCCTTCCTGGCTCTGCTCAATTGAATGCTCATTGTTTTGTTGGTGTCTTTTTTCTTCAATTCTGATGTCCAAATCACTGCGTGCTGTATGACTCTAGAAAGCCTTAATTTACTACCACCAAGAAATAAAGCAATATGTTGGTAATAAAACTCAGCTTCATTTTTTAATACTCTTGCCAGAGAATAGTGGTGTTCAGCTGGGGACATTGAAAAGCAAGCAAGAAACTTGCTTCATGTGGAAAGATTCAAGCCAAGGCATGGCTACTGTTGACCCTTTCAAGTTGAATCATGCCTTTGCTACCCTCCAGGACCTTATGGTTGGGGCTTAAAATTGGGACGTTAGTGAGAAAACATAAACTGCAAATTCAGTGAGTGCTTTAAGGGCAAAAGTAATACGATAAAGTTCTTTCTCACATCTAAATTGTCACAGAGAAATTAAGCACAGGTGATGCAGTTGCTCAGTAGCAGGGAGTCATGGGGAATTCAGAGAGAAGTTAATTGGGAGACATTCTGAATAGATAATAGAAAAGGGAAGACAAATGTGGAAAGACATTTCACTGAATGTGCCGGAGGCCTGGTTTTCCCCTTCCATGTTGCTAGTCCATTGGTTTCTCCATTTTACTCTCTACATGGGAAGTTCTCCTGCAGTGATGAGAGATGCCATGGGTGATCAGGAATGTGTCCTTTGGGAACATTATCTAAACACAGATCCTGGTGCCTAAAAGCAGAGGTCCACCAAGTGAGGTACGAAATATTCTCATAAACATGCAGAGAAGGGATACTACATCCAGAAATGCATAGAGATACACTTATTTCTCCTTTTTCTCTTTTAGACGGCTCGTGTCTCCTAAAGCCACAGGTCTATCTTGCAGAGCCCTGTTGACCTCTTCAGCCTAGCAGGACAGCTTGCATTTTAAGCAAGATGAAAGAACATCTCCACTTGGGGACCATACAAGGCACATGACTGTCTATCAATGAAACAAATGTTGCATATGTGAAAATGGAGCTACGAAACTTGAGGGGATGGGTAAAGTTTATATGGATAGTGGGGAGTGGAGAGTGGTGGAAAGGGAGACACTAATCAAGATGCATTGCACACATGAAAGGACAAAGTTGAATTGAAACCTCTTATACAACTCTTTAGAGATAAGAAAACATTATCAAAAAAACAGATGTAGCATCACCTGCAGAGCTAGCCCAGGAGAGATTTCCTTTACAGATGCCAATCACATGGGCTACCTAGGAAATCTGTCTTTAAGCTGTTTAGTAAAGTCACTTTGCTTTATCCAGGTGTCTGAAGAATGACCTGAAGAACCATTTACAAAAATCATTGACATAAATATTTCTAGCTAGGCACTTCCATGCTATGAAATGGTTGCCTTTGTAGCTATTCAGCTACTGAATGTTACTCTGATGACAGCACTATGTCCTAATTCTATCCTGACCCACATAATGAGCCATATGTAATAGAGGCTGGACAATAAAATTATCTTTCTTCACAAAAAGTGGTTCATAACCATTTATGACCCTTTACTATAGGTCAGGAGCTCTAGCAGAGCTCTAGCTCTGGGAGAATAGTTGAATGTCCTTATTCTAAAAGGTCTTAGAACAAACAGCAGTGATAGCAGGTATTAAGTTGGTGGTGAAATATTTTATAAAGGACAACAATATTGATTCATTAAGCCAGAAACTATTTATTAAAAATCTAATATATTCTTCTGTCATAGGAATCTTGCTCTGACAGAATTTACTAAAATAATGTTAGGAGAGACATACAAAGTTTAGAATAACTTTTTAAGAGAAAAGGCCTTTGATCTGAGACTCTACTCTCTGACAAGTAGACATTGAGCAGAAAGTAACTATATTGCTCTTGACTGTCCAGAGCAGAACATGGAACCTACTCAGATAATATTTGATAAGGCTAATGAAATAATGGCTACTACACATAAATATTCTCAAAACAATAGCTATATCAATTATAAATAACTATATTACCTCTTGTTAGCCATATGGAAACAATAGCATATTGAGTTTTACAGACAATGCACAGACATGCCTATTTTATTGGATGGGAGAATTATGAGAACACAACATTGGAACCTAATTTCTTTGATAGACTATTGTAAGAGTTTTAGAACCATTTGTTGGTCCTCCCTCGAAAAACCAAACCAACAAACAAAACCCCAGCATAAGCAAAAATACTCCAAACCCAGGTTCCCTATGTCTGGGAATCTGCAGTCATAACTCTCCAGAAACTATCACAGAGATGGGATAAGTTCCCTCCTTAATAACCTTCGGATTTTTCAGCCAATATGCTCTGTGGTGTCATCTAAGTGTAACTACTTATGTCAGTTAAGATTAAAGTTTCTCTGTTCATACAGAGTCTTTCGCTGAAAAAGAGACCATTGGTACTTTTCAAGATAGG